AGCCGCGCGCGGCTCATCCAACTACTTCGGATGGAGGGCGGGCAGTGACCGCGTGAGGCGGTCACGTGTCCCGTCTGAAACTAAGAGCGCGCCGCGAGTCTCGGGCGCGCTCTTAAAGGGACAGTGGGTGCCTAAATTGGAAAAGGCATCCCATTGGTCCCTGTCATGCCACACTCCCCATACACTTACCTTTTGGGGGCGTGGATGTGACAGGGACCAATCAAATTAGATGTTTAGGTATTTATACTCACCTTCTTCCCTTTGTTCCTTGCCCTATCGTGGTTTCTGTCTCAGTTCCCTTTAGCGCTTGTGGTGTTCAGTTGTGTTTTCTCGTTTTGACTTTGGCTTCGTATTCTGACTTCGTTTTCGCTTTATCCTTATCTGTACTGTTTGCCGGCTTGCTGTTTTCCGTGTACCAGACCCCGGCTTGTCCTAGTTTACGTTGTCTCTCTGTGCCCTTGACCTCGGTTTGTTTCTGGCTCTGTCTTCTCTCATATACGTCAAGTCCGGCCATTCTAAGGTCCGGTAGACGTATCTCTCCTCTGTATTTGCCTCTGTTTAGCTGGATCCTGCGTGTAGGGGTATATTCTCGTTACACAGCGGCACTTAGCCGCGATTCTATGGAACTGTTTTGGGCATGAAATCATGTGTTTGCCCGGGCAAAAATATGACTTCCATAAAATTTTTGAACCCCTGAACCGATCTGGGTGAGCTTTGGATATGTTGTTCACCCAGATCAGGGCTATCAAGGGATGTATTTTATGGGGATATGTTGGATTTTGGGATACTTTCTGAACCTTGTGAAAATGTGTTTTTTCTGCCTGGAGATAACTGAGTTACTTACAGGACTTTATTCAATTATCGCCTGTGACCAGAGCAATCTCGCCACATTGTATTGGAGAAGCCTGGTTGTTCGCCTGCTGCCTTTGGACTATGGCCCCATGTTAAAAGACATCTTTTTCCCTGCAGAAAAGACTTATTCGTGCTTTTCTGCCTGGTGTTCGGTAGATTCAATCTACCGAACAACCGTACGAATGACTAGACCACCTGGGAGCTGGAGTGTGCCTGCAATTAGCCTCCCTGAAGCTGCGGTTAACCGCAGCTTAATTGACGAACGCTGGGTGGCCGCCATTCGTATAACGAACACGAGGTCGCTGCCATTTTAAACACGCGAACGCACAGCGGTGTTCGATGCCTAACTCATGGAACTAAAAACGGACACAGTTTGGTGCGAACACCGCTGAAGCCGCCGACCTCCCTTCTTGTTCGGCTGGAGTGCACGAACGGCCCGGCGTTCGGTAGTTTTACTTGACTATGTTATACCCCAGATAGGAATCCCATGGAGCCCATTCGCATGAGAACTGACTTGTAAAGACTTTGGCTCCATGGCGATTACACTGTATTCATGTCGTCTGAGCGCCATTCGCTTAATAATGTGCACTCAGACCTGAGCTATCTGGGGACATGTTAAATGTATAGTTTTATTGTAACTTGTGTCATACTGTGTATTTTAATAGTAATTCATGTTTTAATATCCCCACGTGCATAATGGCGATTTGCCTTTGTCTTGGGAGATAATTGAATTACTTCTCAATTATCTCCAGGGCAGAGGGGAGAAGCCAGGATGCATTGTGGGAATATAATGTGACTGTGTGTCCTGTTTGGCTGATTGTCTGTCTTTTGTCACAGTCTCCCATTTGGTCCCCTAGGGGAGTGTCCACCAGGTGGGAGACCTGCATAAATACTGGGCAGGTAGCCCTCATTAAACAGACCACTGCTTGACCGTCAACACGGAGCCTTGTCTTGTCTTTGGGGGGATTTACTGAACGCTGATAGAGACTGATTGCTAGGAGTGTAAGCCGCTTGGATGCTTTTCCTATTCGTCTGCTAGCAGCGATTCGTATGGTTCCAGTTCGTGTGTTTGGAGTGCTATATTGGATGCCGTTCTGGAGTTTGGAGCATCCCTTATTGGCGGTTCGTGAGTTTGGTGTTTTACAATAGCTGTGCCTGCATCTCTGAGAAGGGGACGATCGCCTAAACAGTTTTTACCCCTTGTGTTCAAAACGGTCCGTTACATCTCCTAAGCAGAGGGGGGAGGGATTGTGTGCCAGTGTGTGCCATTAAATTTGAGATTCCTGCTTACACTCCAAAACTGTGTGTTGTCCAGTTATTGGAGGGAAAAAAGATTTGCTCCTGTGTCTGCTGTTCCAACTTGCAGGAGATTAAACAGGGAAAGTCCTTATAAGGACTAGACCTTTTTCCCCATTCGGTTTCAGAGTTCTCATGACTGAGTGTCGTCCAGTGCCTGGAGGTGTCAGAGCTAATTTCCCCTTCGGCACCAGGAGGGAGGTGGCAATTCCAGGACCTCAGTCAAGCATTGGTTTTATCCCATGTTCTAGCTAGGAAGCGGTCCTTTGGCGGAAGTACCTAGTTGGGATGCCAGGTGATCCATTACAGCGGCACACAGAGAGCTGATGGGAGAAGAGGCACACAGAGGGCTGGGGAGAAGAGGCACACATAGGACTTGGGGGGCACACAGAGCAATGAAGGGAGGGAAGAGCCACACAGAGGGCTGGGGGAGAGGCACACAGAGTGCTGAGGAGGGAGTTGTACACAGAGGACTCAGGGCAAAGAGGCACACAGTGGGCTAAGGGGAGGAAGAGGCAGAGGGGGGGAGAGACCACAAGGAGCAGGGGTGGAAAGGCAAAGGAGAGGCACACAGATTGCTGGGGGTAAAAGGCACACAGGGCTGAGGAGAGGTCAATAGAGGCAAAAAGAGGGTGGGGGGAAGTACACAGAGGGCTGGGGGAAGAGACACACGGAGTGCTTAGTGAAGGAAGAGGCACACAGAGGGCTGAGGAGGGAGAGGCACACAGAGAGCTGGGGGAGAAGCAAACAGAAGGCTGATAGGAGGAAAAAGTCACACAGAAGGCTCTGGGAAGCACCTGGGGGAAAGACCACATAGGGTGAGTAATGGGAAAGCAAAGAAGAGGCACATAGATAGATGGGGGGCAAGAGGCATACAGAGGGCTGGGGGAGAGAGAAATAAAAAGGGCTGGGAGGAAGAGGCACACTGAGTACTGAGGGAGTTAGAGGCACACAGAGCGCTGAGGTGAGAAGAGGCGCACAGAGGGCTGGGGAAAAGAGGCACACAGAGGGATGAAGGGAGTGAAGATGCACACAGAGGGCTGGGGAGAGGCATACAGAGGGATGAGGGGACATGTACATAGAAGGCTGAGGGGGGAAGAGGCACACAGAGTGCTGAGGAGGGCGTTGCACACAGAGGACTGAGGGCAAAGTGCCACACAGAAGGCTGGATAGACCACAGGGGGAAGGGGTAGGAAGGCAAAGGAGAGGCACACAGATGGTTGGGGTAAAATTCACACAGGGTGGAGGAGTGGGGCAATAGAGACATACAGAGGGCTGGGGGAAAAGGCACACAGAGTACTTAGGAAAGGAAGAGGCACACAGAGGGCTGAGGGGGGGAAGAGGCACACAGAAGGCTGGGCAATAAGAGGCACTCAGGGGGCTGGGGGGAAGAGGCACACATAGGCCTGGGGGGGAGGCACACAGTGGGATGAAGGGAGGAAAGAGGCACACAGAGGGCTGGGGGAAAGGCACACAGAGGGCTGACGGGTGATGTACAAAGAAGGCTGAGGGGGAAGAGGCACACAGAGTGCTGAGGAGGGAGTGGCACACACAGAACTGAGGGCAAAGAGGCACACAGAGGGCTGAGGGCGTCTAGGTGACCTATGGTTTATATATATATATATATATATATATATATATATATTGTGTTTCTTATGCTATGATTTCCTTATGATACTCCCTTATATGATTTGCCCTATTAATATATTTTAATTCTAATACATTGTTAATGATAATTACCCAGATTATGTATCACTATTTTTTTAAATAAAGAATTAAAATTTTCTTTTAATATTTTTTAAAAAACTTTTGCGCTTCTTGCTCGGTTTCATTTATTTTCTTAAGAATGGTTTGATAACTCACCTGGGGCATCACCGCACCTAGGTCATACTAAGTGAATATATACTGTGTGTAACTCTGACTATTAATAGAAAATTGCGAATTTATTCATTCAACAACATCATGTAGAAGGTTAGAATAGTAATCCCAATGAAGTAAATTAAAATAATCTCAAAGGATTATTTGAATAAGCATTTCCCTCAGAGCAATATAATATAAACTGTGACACTTCAGACCATACCTTATTCAACCAGACCTCTTTCCACTCAAGACAGAATTGAAACACAAAAAAAAGCCTCTGCTGTATTTCAGGTACAATTGTCTTATAATAATGTCAAGTCACAATCTAGTGGTGATGCTTAAAAGATTTTAAATGTAAAAAATGTCCAGTTGATTTGAACTACTCTGTGTCAAATTGACTTTTAATAGAAAATAAAGCCAAAACTCAGATAAGTTTGCCCAGGAAATTAACTTAAAGAGACACTATAGTCACCTGAACAACTTCAGCTTAATGAGGTTGTTCAGGTGAGAGCTACAGCTCCCTGCAGCCTTTCTCATGTAAACACTGCATCTTCTGAGAAAATACAGTGTTTACATTGAAAGCTAGGAACACCTCCAGTTGCAGTCACTCAGAGCGAACCAGAGGGACTGTCAGCAGAGCACAGGGCAGCACTGTGCACAGCATCCTGTGATTCAGTATCTCCTCCCTCTGCATGCAGACACTGAACTTTGCTCATAGAGATTCATTGATTGAATTCATCTCTATGAGGAGATGCTGAAAAAAAAAAAACGAATCTGCTAAATCCAGGTGAAAATTTTTCACAATTGGTACTGGAGGATATTCTCAGCAGAAGTTAATTTCACCTAAAATGTGCAAATTCTACGTTGAAATCCAATTTTTTTACAATTTAGTAAATAAAATCTTAATGCTCATCCCCAATTTAAGAGGTCAGAAATAAAATAATTGAGCAAATGTTTAATTTACCAATCTGTTAATAAAAAAAATATATAGTATCGCTTCTCTGTTTTTTGGCTAAGATCAAGTGTAGTGTCGGCTCTTATCAGTTTAATATCTCTGCTCTGCGCACTCCATTTTTTTTTTAACTGTATGAAGTGCAACAGCACAAATGAACAAGTGTTGCAACTCAATACTGCAGTATGCCCATATAAATTCATACTTCTGATGCCGAAAGATGAATTATATGTTGTTTTATTTTGATATGTGCACAGATTTCATTTTTTCCACACTATCAGATTAGTTCTGTTTAGGAGGCACACTGCAGACGATGTAGGAAAAGTAACACAAGTTTGCAACTACAATGGAGTGGAGCAAAACATAACAATATCAAAAATGTTTAAGATTCGGTTGGTTTGGAAAAAGTTACAGAAGGAAAACAGTTCATTCCACACAGGGCCGGTGCAAGGATTTTTGCCGCCCTAGGCAAAAGTAAAGTTTGACGCCCCCCTCCTCCCCCCCGTGACATCGCAATGCCCCACCCATATGACCTGCCATGTTAACTAACGCTAGTGCTGCAGTGCCGCTGTGTTTACATTAAAAGGCCTGCAGGGACAGGCTATAGACACCAGGACCACTACATTAAGGTGCAGTGGTTCTGGGGACTATAGTGTTTCTTTAATGTGAGGTAAATTAGAGATTAGTGCCACGAATAATATACTAGATTGCCTACTTACAATCAGATGAGGATGATGATGGGCTCTAGCTGCAGTCTGGCTCCACTGGTCTGGTGTATAACAGGATCTCTGGAGGCTGTTTGTAACTGTGGTCACACAAATCAATGTTCTGGGAGAACGAGAAGCAGCTCCATTTTTTGGGGGCCCTTTACACAGCTCAAGGTCTGGGTCCCAGGGTCCACCTTCATTTTCCACCAATGAGTTTGTTCACAGGGGATGGAGTGTGTAGGGAATGTCCTGATTTGTGTGTAAGGAATGCATTTTGTGAATCTGTGTTTGTATGTGTAAGGGCTGCAAGGTGTGTTTCTGTGTATGTAAGGGATGAAGTGTGTGAGTCTGTAAGGGGTGCATTGAGTGTGTGTAAGGAATGCATTGTGTGTTTCTGTGTGTGCAAGGGATGCATTGTGTGTAAGGGTTGCATTGCGTGTGTGTGTGTAATGCATTGTGTGTGTAATGCATTGTGTGTTTTTCTGTGTGCAAGGGGTTCATTGTCTTTGTGTGTAAGGGGTGCATTGTGTGTGATGTGTGTGTGTGATGGATGTCATCTCTCCCCCCTCCCTTGTCACTCTCTTCTCCCCCCCTCCCTTGTTACTCTCATTCCCCCTCCCTCCCCTGTCACTCCCCCCTCCCTGTCAATTTCTCTCTCCCCGTCAATGTCTCCCCCCGTTAGTTTCTTTCTCCCCCCTCCCCTGTCAGTTTCTTTCTCCCCCCTCCCCTGTCAGTTTCTTTCTTCCCCCCTCCCCTCCCTGTTTCTTTCTTCCCCCTCCCTGTTTCTTTCTTCCCCCTCCTTCCCTGTTTCCTTCTCCCCCTCCCTCCCTGTTTCCTTCTCCCCCTCCCTCCCTGTTTCCTTCTCCCCCCTCCCTCCCTCTTTTTTCCCCCTCCCTGTTTCTTTCTTCCCCCTCCCTCCGTTTCCTTCTCCCCCCTCCCTCCTTCCCTGTTTCCTTCTCCCCCCTTTCCTCTGTTTCTTCTCCCCCCCTCCTCCCCTGTTTCTTTCTTCTCCCCCTCCCTCCCTGTTTCTTTCTTCTCCCCCCTCCCTCCCTCTCTTTTTTCTTCTCCCCCTCCCTCCTCTGTTTTTTCCCCTCCCCTCCTCCTTCCTCCCCCTCCCTCCCCTGTTTCTTTCTTCTCCCCCTCCCTCTCTTTTTTTCTTCTCCCCCTCCCTCCCTCCCTCTCTGTTTCTTTCTTCTCCCCTCCCTCCTTCTCTCCCTCTCTCTCTGTTTCTTTCTTCTCCCTCCCTCCCTCCCTGTTTCTTTCTTCTCCCCCTCCCTCCCTCTCTTTTTTTTCTTATTCTCCCCCCTTCCTCCCTCTTTCCTCCCCCTCCCTCCCCTACCTGTGTGGTAGTGTGGCCGAGCCCAGTATAGTCCGACCGGTACAGGGAGCTGTTGTTTCCTGTACCCGGCCGGACTAACAGGAAGTGAACACTCAGTGTTCACTTCCTGTTAGTCCGGCCGGGTACAGGAGACAGCTGCTCTCTGTACCGGTCGGACCATGCCATAGAGGGCTCGGCCACGCTACAGAGAGGGAGATGACAGGTGGGAGTGCTGAGCACTTCCCTCCTGTCAGCCTCTCCTCAGGCTGCGCCCGGGCGGTGCGGTCCGCCCTCATGGACGCACCGCCCGGGCAAAGCTGCAGCCGCCTGAGGCTCAATACAGAGCGCTCGGGCGGCTGCAAAATGAGCGGGGCCGGCGCTCCTGGCAGCGCCCCCTCCCAAGGTAGCGCCGGCCCTGATTCCACAACATGTTTAACTCTGGACATATACTGTATTTCAGAGTTAAATGTATCGATGAGTGAAATGAAGTGGTACATGCATTGGGTAATAGGTTGTGGTATCTTTTAAATCTAAAATTAGTCCTAACAAAGTTAGAAGTTGTAAAATAATAATGGCTTATTTCTAATCTGGTCACTAAATAGTAAACACAAGCTGTTGCTATTATTTAGATAGTAGTTAGTAACAGCTAGTATTTACCAAATGATTTCCAAATTTGTCTCTATTTTTTACTGACTGGCCGTCAATAATATCTGGTCCCAAAGATACCAATCAGTCACAGATTATCCACCTGTTCATAAGGTACAGAAACACACTGTGTGCAATGTGTCACCATATCAGCCACAACTTGCTGCTTAAAAGAATCTTAAAAACAACATGGGTACTTCACCCTGTGATTGGCCTTAGCAGACGATAGTGACAGTGATACAATACAGCACACATTGAGTTTCTGGTATGCAAATTGTGCATTTAAATGACAGTGTTAAGGAGTACATAGAGCAGTGATGGTGAACCTTTTTAAACCCGAACCGCAATACATGCCAACTTTATTTTCCTCAAAGTGCCAACACAGCAATTAAACCTGAATACACACAGACAGACTGCTGAGTACCCACAGACTGCTGAATACATACACAAAGTCTACTGAATACATACACACAAACACAGACTGCTGAATACACGCACAGTCTGCTGAATAAACACAAACAGTCCGCTGTAGACACACACACAGACTGCTGAATACATACACACACATACGGGTGTGGAGTGTGTGTGTGTGGAGTGCTGTGTGTGAGGGGTGCTGTGTGTGTGTGTGTGTGTGTGAGGGGGTGCTGTGTGTGTGTAGGGAGGCGCTGTGTGTGTGGGGGGGTGGTGTGTGTGGGGGGTGCTGTGTGTGTTGGGGTGCTGTTTGTGGGGGGGAAGGGTGCTGTGTGGGGGGGTGTTGTGTGTGAGGGGGGGCCAACTTGTTATTATCATTGCTAGTTATAAAGTGCCAACAAATTCTGCAGCGCTGTACAATGGGTGGACTAACAGACAAGTACTATAACTAGACGAGAAGGAAGCACAGGAGAAGAAAGAGTTGAGGCCCCTGTTCAAACAAGCTTACATTCGGGGATATATAATATATACTGCAGGTCCTATTAGAATCTAAACATGCTTTACTGATGGCTTTTTCCATCTGTAATTTAAATGGCAGTCGGTTTTCAACAGCTTACCAAGCAAGTTTTAATTGTGATTTCCAATTTCTTGCAATAGCTCTTTTTACTGCTACAAAACAGTGAGTAATAAAAAATGATTTTGCTTTATTTACTTGAGGCTATTCTAAGTGTAATAATGTCTCTGATGGGGCGCCTTTTAACCTAATATTTCATTTGATTATTCAGACCGTACATCTTTTTCCATATACCTTGTATATCTTTATATCCCCACCAGATAGGTAAATATAAGCCTTTTTTATGTATATATATATATATATTCCCAGAAAACATTTGAACTAATGGAAACATCTAAACCACTCTAGCTGGTACTAAATAACATCTATCCGTCATCTATTATTGTTTTTACTGCAGATACAAACAATGAATTGCAGATCCTATGTTATTCAAGGATTTGTACCAATCTACTTTATTAATTTCAATATAATATTCAGTTCTCTTTTACATCTAATCAATTATATAATGTCCTTGTCCATGGGACATAATGTAAAGAGGGTTTGTTGTTTACAGTTTTCCCTAATACATCAGGTACTCTTTTATAATGGATTAGACTGTTAACCCCTTAAGGATACATGACGGAAATATTCCGTAATGATTCCCCATTTATTCCAGAAGTTGTGTCCTTAAGGGGTTAAATTAGTGAATGATTTAGGATTAGTGACATATGGTAGAGAGGATGAGGGTTTGAAAGTTTTCATAAAAATTGGTCAAGTCTCAGTATTATTAAAAAAAAATGTATGTATATATATATATATATATATATATATATATATATATATATATATATTAGGCTTATGAAATAAATAAATATATACCTGATAATGTATGCATGTTCAGGTGAGTGTTGCTCATTGCTTCATACTTTTTGACATCTTTTAACCGCTTAAGACCGGAGGGCGTACTATTACGCCCTATTTTAGGCGGCTCTAAACGTCGCCGGGCGTAATAGTACGCCATCCGCTCTTTTTTTTACTCACCCGGTTGCAGGCGATGCCACGCCGGCGATCGTGGTTGGGGGGACTCCCAGGGAGCCCCCCGCGGCACATCCGACCTCCTGCAGCCCCCCCGGCCATGTGAGAGTGAGGTTCTTGCAAGGACCTCACAATCACATGGCCGGGTTAGCTTTCTGCTGTATTGCCAGCAGGGGGACTGCCTGTCATGACAGTTAGGCCCACCGCTGGCTGGAAATAAAATAAATTAAAGTTAAAATAAGTGTAAAAAAAGAAATTATATACTTAGATCATATATATATATTGATCTAAGTATATATATATACACACATATACATACACACACATACACTGTCTAGGTGTATTTTACTATTAATATATATATATAATTATATATATTAATTTCAAATTACACGTAGACTGATACTGATTAAATATATATATAATTATTGTTATATATATATATATATTTATATATAATATAAAAAAAATATGTAAATACGTTAAAAAATTAAATTAAAAAAATAATTAAAAATAAATAATTAAAAAATA